TCCCAAACCCACTACCTCTCCCCCTCCTCCCCCCATCCTTCCCAATAATCCCTTTCCCCTTCCCTTATGCCCCCTCCCCATCTCTTCCTATCTACTCTCTTACATTTCTATCTCTGTCTATCCCCCTCCTCCCCCCTCTCCTTCCCCTACCCCTCTTCTTCCCCTTCTACCACCTCCCCCCTCTTACGACTTTCCTCCCTATACCCCTTACTCCCTTCTCCTTCCCCACTTCCCCATCCACCCCTCCCCCCCCTTCTCCTATCCCCCATCCTTCCCCTCCTTCCTCCTCCCCCACCTCGTTAGACGATTGAAGGGGCGGGGCCTAAGTCATGACGTCAACACCCACCAACGCGTTACCAGCAAGTGTTGAAGAAAAAACCGACGCGTTTGCGCTTTTGTTGACCTACCAAAGACGGCTCTAACCTCCTTGGCAGAGGCAAAAAAATGTAAATAAACAAATACTGATAAAAATATACCAATATTCCCTAAACATTACCCAAGCAGTCCGGGGTCCGCGGTGCCACAGCATGACCCCATTTTAAGAGGTCAAGCGGGGTCCAGTTATCAACGGACTCCCATGGCCAGGTATAGAGTCTCTTTGCCTGGATGTTAGTGCAACACGAAGTCACCAGTAGGAGTGGATAAAGCCAGCTGGGAACCATCTTTCACATGGCCTTCTCGTTGTCCGAAGCTGAAATAAGAGTTAGAAATTAGTTAGAGGTTGTTTTATGTTAATTGTTGATTTGTTGTTTTTTTGTTCACTTGCAATGTACATTTTTATTGTGATTGATTGTAATGTACGTGTATTATTTTTTGTTTATCTGAATTATGGAATAATTATTGATGTATACCTATGCAGTTATATGTAGATATGCAAACACATAAGTGCACAAGCAAGGACGCAAACACGCACACACACACAAACAAATAACACATTCACACAAACACAACACACACAAACAAACAACACATACACAAAACATAAACAAACAACACATACAAACACAAAAACAACACAAAAAAACAAACAAACATACACAAAAACACAAAACACACCTTACCGAAAAAATAAACCGTCAAAGCCAAAAAGTTCTTCCTCCCGTCACCTTCCCTGGCACTGGCACCCTCCCTCTCGCTCCGTCCTTCCCGCTCTCCGACAGTGCCAAGGAGCCGCTCGCCCTGCCGGCACCTCCTGGAGAATGATCAATTTTAGTCCGGGGCAGGTCGGGACTTCTCTCCACTCGAACCGCGGTATCTGGTACTTAGAGGAGGGGGGAGGGGAGGGGAGGGGAAGAAAGAGGGAGGGGAGAAGGGAGGGAGGGGGGAGGAGGAGGGGGAAGAAGGGAGGGGGAGGAAAGAGAGGAGGGGGGAGAGAGGGAGAAGAAGGGAGGGGGGAGGGGAGAGAGAGGGGGGAGGAAGAAGGGAAGGGAAGAGAGAGGTAGAGGGAGGTAGAAGGGGAGGGAGAGAGGGAGGAAGGGAGGGGGAAGGGAGGCAGGGAGAGGAAGGAAGGAGGGGAGGGGAGAGAGGGAGGAAGGAGAGAGGAGGGAGGGAGGAGGGAGAGAGGAAAGGGATTAAAGATTAAAGATTTAGTTTTAATTCCGTTTGTTACAATGGATATTCTTTGCTGTGACATACTGTCTGTTTTATTTTGCCCAAATCTCCCCCTGTGTGCAAGGAGTGGCCGGGGATACCACTCACTGGCCGGGCGTGGGATTGAACGCAGGTCCGCAAGATTGCTAGATCAGCACCTTACCACTGCGGTAAGGGAGAGAGGGGGAGAAGAAGGGAGGGAAGGGGGAGGAAGGAGGGGGAAGAAGAAGGGAGGAAGGGAGGGAGAGAGAGAGGGGAAGGGGAGGGAGGGAAGTAAGAGGGAAGGGGAGGAGGAAGAAAGGGGGAAGAGGAGGTAGAAGGGGAGGGGAGAGAGGGAGGAAGGGGAGGAAGGGAGGGGGAATGGGGGAGGAGGGAGGGGGAGGGAGGGGAGAGAGAAGGAGAGAGAGGGGAGGGGAGGGGGGAGGAGGAGAGAGGGAAGAAAGAGGGGATGAGGAGGTATGGGAAAGGAGGGCGAGGTAGGGAGAGGGAGCGAGAGGGAAGGAGAGAGGAGTGGGGTGGAGAAAGGGGAAGGAAGGGAGAGGGAGGAGGGAAGAAGTTAGGGAGGGGGAGGTAGGGAGAGGGGAAGAGAGAGATTGAGGAGGTAGGGAGAGAAGAGAGAGGGTGATGGAGATAGGGGGAAGGAGGGGGAGGAGGGAGGTGAGAGAGAAAGAGGATGATGAGGGAGGGATGGAAAGGGGAGGAGAGAGAGAGGGAGGAGAGAGGGAGAGGGAGAGGAGGAGGAGGGAAGGATGAGAGAGAGGTGAGAGAAAGGGGAGGGAAGAGGCAGGGAGGAAGAGGAGAAGGAGGGAAGGGAGAAAGAGGGAGGAAAAGGAAGGAAGGGAGAAAGGGAGGAAAAGCAAGGAAGGGAGAGAGGGAGAGGGGGAGGGGAGGAACGAGAGTGGAGCAATAA